CTCCTCCTCCTCCTCCTCCTCCTCCATCACCCCTCCCCCTGCAACTCAACTGCCTTCTACCACTGATGAGGTTAGCTAGTTGTGTAATGAAAGATGTGCAAGAAAACCACCAAGCTCAGAGAGCACCAAGGACCCCACAATCTTCCTCCTCTCCTCCTCCTCCCCCCTCCCCCTCCAACTCAACTGCCTTCTACCACTGATGAGGATAACTGGTTGTGTAATGAAAGGTGTGCAAGAGCACCAAGGAAACCACAGTCCTCCTCCTCCTCCTCCTCCTCTCCTCCAACCTCCCTTCCTTCTAGCGCTGATGAGGTTAGCTAGTTGTGTAATGAAAGGTGTGCAAGAAACCCGCCAAGCTGAGAGAGCACCAAGGACTCCTCAGTTCAACCCAGGGCTACAAATACTCTCTTCCCTCTTTGCCCCATTTACTCCGCAGGGCCTCCTGGCCTCAGTTTCCAAACCCATCTCCCAGGGCAGTTGAAGTTCTGTCTTGTGAAGTTTAAGGAGTTTCCGTTGGGTCTTCCTACTGCTATCAAAGGATTCTCATCACCCCAGGGTGCCCATCCCTCAATGCCCAGCTATTAACTAACCCTGGTTAAGGAGGAGCAAGGAGAGATGAAGGGACAAAGAATAAAAAAAATACCCCAAGCAGGTAGGAGAAGCTGCTGTGTACCAACCCCTCCTATCCGTGGACCAATCTTCCTGCACTGAGGACGTTACCAAGTGTTGAAGGAAAAATCTTCACCAGGGTCCAGTCCCAGCTGGGAATGATGAAAATGGAGACTGCTTTAGAAAGAAAGTTGCAGCTTAGTGAAGAGGATAGCCAGACAGAAAGATGGCTCGGAAAAAAAAAACTGACCACATGGAGCAGAGTGGTGGGCTTTTATATACCTTCTGGGGCTCTTGAGGTGGACCAATGTGGGCAAGGGGTTCTGTCCTCTCCTCTCCTCCTCCTGGAAGCCCTCCTTGCCCGGGGCCTTCTGGCTTCCTGACCAGGCTGGCAGGAGGACCATCATCTCCAACACAGTTTCAAGCAGAAGCTGGAATGGGGCATTCTCAAAATGGTGGTTCAGGAGGAGAAGAAGTCAAGAGACAGTGGGAGGGGGAGAGGGAGGGTCAGTCTCAGGGCTTCCAGAGAGTGGGGGTGGCTATCTATCAGGAAGAAGACCCCCGCTACGTCAAGTTCTGCTTTAGCATCAGGGCACCTTCCTTGTTTATATCAGCTACAACTTTGGTGGACCAGAGAAGAGCCTGGAGGTGCAGCAGCCTGAAAGATCCCACAGAGATCTGCATGTACCAAGATCAAGTCTAGGCCAAGGTGACACCACACAGCTGATCATTTGGTCGAAGCAAACTACACAAGTGAAAACGTGCAGGACCTACCAAACTTCCCCTAGCATTACTTGCACTGACGGTTCACACACTTCTGCCCCTTAGGACAGTCCCGGTCTGTTTTGCAATGAAGATGAGGATGTTGAGGATGTTGATGCCCTTTGGGACACTTCCCACGTTTTTCTGCAAAATAAAAGATCCCAAGGCTGAGAGATTCCTCTGGAGTTTGCATCCCAGATCAAGCAAGATCCCATCTCTGGACCTTTCAGGACCCAAAACATCTCCACACATCCAGATGAAATGTTGCCAATGGACCATCTCCCCCCCCCTCAATGTCCCCACCAAGCCCAGCCATTTCCTCCTGGGGTCAACCTCTCAGGACTCTTGGCTGGACTTATAACGGGGCTCCTCTGCCTGAACTCAGGATGCTGGGGGTGCAAATGTGCCCCCCCGTTTCTACCACAGAGGAAGCTGGTTCTCCTTGTGGGTCCATCTCGGTCTGCCTTCCCCTCAGGCAGGAATTCCAAGAAATGAGAGGCAGAGTTTTCCTCTGTGGGCTCTACATTCCCACAGCCCCCTCCCCAACCCAGAGGGGGCAAGATAGCCCTCTCCCCCAGGAAGAAAATGATATCCCAATCAAGCGGGATATCCCATCCTCTTTCATCAGATGGTTGAACAAGAGGTGTGGAATCTGAGAGTTGCGTTGGCTGGACGGTTGGGAAAATATCCAGAAGAAAAACCTTCCCCACAAAAGGATTCCACAGTTCAACCCTGAAGATTCCCTTCCCTTCTACTGAACCAATCCTAGCCTGTTGGGGGAACCAGGATTTTACATTAAGCCACCCAGTTCTTTTGCAATGAAGAGCCCAGTCCGTAACTCCTTCCCTACTTACCAATACAGGTCTTCTGACAATCACGCATGGTTTCAAAATTGTTGGCATTCCCACCGCATCCACCGTAAGTAAACTGTTTGCATGTGTTTGAAGCCGAGTGGTAATAGAAGCGAGGCACTTTGCGTAAACAGTGTCCAGGATCAGCAGGAAGATAACAACATTCTGCAGGAAATGGAAAGGGTGTGTGTGTGTGTTTGTGTGTGTGTGTGTGTGTGTGTGTGTGTTATTTGATTAGCTAGCAGAAACATCTTGAAGGCACTTCCCCAACCTGTTGCCCTCCTAGCATGCTCAGTCTGCACATGGTCAAGAGCCATCTGGGACTTTTTAATTTTGTTTCCTGCTCCGGGGTTTGGAGAGGATGTCTGAATGAGGGATCCTGTGGCTTAAAGCCCTGATTCTGCTGTTGCATTGAGTAAGGCTAGGTCAGCCTTCCCCTGAAGTTGCATCTCTCTTTCTTGGGGCCCCCTCCCATTTCTTCCTCCTCTTCAGCTGACACCCAACTACCATCTCAAGAACTTTCCCACCAAGCCAGAGGTTCTAGACTGGGGCTCTTGGTTTTCCCTCCCTGGGGGAGAACTCTGCCCTCTGACCACGTCAGACCCTTCCTGCAAAGGGTTTCAAGGTCATTCTGGAAACTCACCTGGACGGCCCTTGCCGGAGACAGGGGTCAGCTCTGCCCAGAGGCTGAGGAGTCCCAGCAGGAGAAGAAGACCTCCAGAAGACATGATGAAGTTTTCTGCCCCACACCCGGGCTGCTCACTCTATTTATTCTCCCCACTGGGAATTTCACATCGAGGAAGCAGGATGGAGTAACAGAGTGAGAATTTCAATTCTTTCCTCTTTCATCAGTTGGTTGAACAAGAGGTGTGGAATCTGAGAGTTGAGTTGGATGGACCGTTGGGGAAAGCTAGGCAGGTACCTGTTGTCAGTTTCCCCCCCCTCTCACACTCCAGGTCCCCAGTGCTATTCCCCAGGTCCCCCCCCTCACCAAAAGGAAAGTTCTGTTGTGTCCAGTACTGCTCAGCTTAGGCACA